TGATTTTGTAATTACTTGCTATGCATAAGAAAGCTAGATAAGGAATAAGGATGAGGGAAGAAAAATCTGCCTTTGAGCTGTGCTGCTGGAGAAAAGTATTGAATACGCCATGGATCAAACACATCTGGCCTGGAGAGCGTTAATCCAGGCTGCTCCTTGGAAGTAAGGATTTTCTCACATACTTTGAGCATGCTGCTTAGTGGGACAAGTTCTTGGAGAAAGAAATCCTATCTGGAAGCACAAGAGAGGAAAACCAAGGATAAGATAAGCGGGATAATGGGAATAGGTATGTTGGAGACAGTGGAAACTGGCTCAAAATAGGAGAGGATTCAGAGGTATGGTACCCAGGGTTCCTAGGAGTTGTAAGCAACTTGACAGCACAAAACAACAATAACAACAACAGGTCAGTTTTCAGCTAAGACTACTTGTGCTTAAATTTTGGTTGTTTATTTTGCTTCATTTTTCTCCTCTAGCTATTCTTTGCCTAAGAACACCTATTCACCAAAAAATCCCTGACAAAGGTCAGTTATTAGTTCTGTTGTTCTTGCATACAGTTCAGGAGAACCCAGCTCCTACCTTACCCTCCAGTGGGTTTTCAGAAGCAGTAAATCTCACAAGAGGAGACTGCCCATCCTTAATGGATAATTAAAATAAATACTTAATGAGTCAAGTTGTTTGTTGAAAGTTGTAATCAACTTCTAAATGTATAACAATTGAGTTCCTATTAACACTAACTTGATTCTAATCACTAACTCAATCACTGATCATAGTGACCTTCCACTGATTTTCCAGGGCTGTAAATCACATGGGAGAAGGGTACCTATCTTTTTCCTACAGGGTCACTGGTCGATTCCAACTGCCAGAAAGGCCTGGTCTTTGGGTTGGCATCTATACCACCAGAGCTCTTTTCAAGAATGTTGTTGTGTAGTATAGAATTTGAACCAACTCATAGAAGATTTTCAGATACAGCAAATTGCATGGGAGAAACGCTACAATTTTCATATACATTAAATATATACATTTATGAAGAATATATTCTTTTAAGTAGAAAATAGTTCAAAGTAAACAAAGCATTTATATGGGAAAAATATGACAAAATGGAAGGAAAAAAGAAGACTGGACGGAGAAATACATTTCCTAAGACTTTGTTTCAGAATATCATTGTCAAGGTAAAAATGGAACAGTAAAACAACCACATAATATCACACACACACACACACACACACACACACACACACATTCTTCTATAATTTACGGGGGTTTGGCAATTTAAGTCAGTTTTCTGAAAGAAAAAAAAAGCATAATTGCCTATATATTTTCTTGCCAAGATGTTAGAAGAATCTTATTTTTGTAGTTAGCATAAATCATAACACAATTTAAAAACTGTTAAAATCTCTCACACTCTGCTATAGACGTGGATCCTACTAACAGCTGACCCCCTATACATTTTCAGAAGCCATAAATTACACAGAAAGTGATTGTCCATCTTTCTCTCAAATTGTCACTAGTGGAGTTGAAGCAACAGAGAGGCGCCACCTTTGAGTGAGCTGCATAACTCCTGAGCAACTAAATTTAGTTGCAGGGAGAAAATGCAGCTACAAAACTGAGAATATGAAGGAATTTTTAATAAAATTCCCTGTATAACTAATTTAAGTGTAACAAAATTCATAACAGTCTTAATTCATTCAAAAATAAATCAGAAAGTTGTTAACATTTAAATATTATGCAGGTGATACAACCTTGTATGCTAAAACTAAGAAGGACCTGAAGTGTTTTCTGCAGAAGGTCAAGGACTGCAGTCTTCAATATGAATTGAAGCTCAACACCAAAAACCAAAAAATTCTCACCACTGGGCCAACTGGCAGCAACATGCTAGAGAAGAGACTGAAACTGTTAACAATTTCAAATTATTCAGTTACACAATCTACACTGTTGGCACCAGCAGTCAGAAAATCAAAAGATGAATCACATTGAGAAAATGTGCTGTCAGAGACCTCTCCAGAGTGCTTAAAAGCAGCCATATCAGTCTAGAGACTAAGGTATGCCTGATCCATGACATGGTCTTTGCAAGTATATGCTATGCATCAGAAAGCTGGATGATGACTAAATATGATAGAAGAAGAACTGATGCCTTTGAGTTGTGGTGCTGAAGAGTATTGAACATTCCACGGACTGACAAGAGAAAAAACAGATTTGTCTGAGAGAGGGTGAAACCAAGTTTCTGCTTGGAGGCAAAGATCTTGAAACTTCATCTGATACTTTGGGCATGTTGTCAGGAGGGACCAGTCTTTGTAGAAGGACATCATGCTAGGAAGGGTAGAGGGACAGTGCAAGATAGGAAACTCTAGAGGAGATAAAATGACACAGTAATGGGTAATGGGGTTACGTGTGTCAGAGACAGTGAGATTGACTCAGAATAGGATAGAGCTGTTGTGCATTGAGTAGTTATGAGCTGCAGGTGATTCGATGGCACATAGCAACAATAATATTTAAACTTTACAATGGATTGTAGTGACATTGCTAGGGGAGGTGTCACCTAGTATGGTAACTTGATATTATATTATTATGATCTCTGAACCCTTCCTGTGTTAGATCACACAGAATCCTTAGTATGATAGTTAATATTGTGTGCCAACGTGGCCTTGATCTTCCTTATAGCATAACTATTTTATGTGTCATAATTCTAATCTCTGTGAAACTAATTAGACAAGATTAGATGTTGTACTACAAAGATATAATTAACCTATTCCAACAAAGGCAGTATTTTCTTACAGGTATGGTTTGCACTAAATATGGGTCTGGACTCTTCGACAAAGCTGGAGAGGTGGGGGTTTTCCCCCCCATATTTCACCTGGCTCATAACCTCCAGTTCAGGCCTCAGATTATTCAGCTTCTGGTCTCTGAAGACTCACCATTCCACAAAGGAGAGACTGCTTCTATCTGCCTTATGCTTCCTGGACTTTACTGTACTTCCCACCAATGTGGACTCATTAGTCTCTTCAGATGCTTCTCTCCTGAAGTCTGACCAACAGACATCCTTTATAAGGCATGAACTATTTATTGAAATCTCTAAAACTCTAGATAGATAGATGATAGGAGTGAGAAAGCAGAGGGAGAAAAATAGATAGATAGGGTTTATTGGTTTTGATTCTCTAGAGAACTCAGTCTAAGTAAGACATTTAGTAATATATACCACTAATTTTAATAATGGAATAATATGGTAAATGCAGTTGTAAGTTTATATAAATGTAATATGTTTTTATTATATGAGTATTAGTAACAAAATTGTTTTGTAAACTTTTATGTACTGTAATCTTACTCCATTCTTTAATTGCTATTTTAATTATTTTCCTTTGTGGGAACAATATTAATGTGTAATTATTACTTCAGTCTCAAAAAAATTTCTTGACATATGCTTACAAATCCTAATTACTACAATAGTATAGTTAGCATACTAGAAAATTTGACAAAATTAGTGAATATTAACATACTAGCAACAACAAAATCAACAATGACATCTCTGACCATAGCACATCAAAAAGTTTAAAACTATATTCAAATAGAGTATCAGACTTGCAGGTACACGTGAGCTAGATACCTGAAAACTGTTTTGTTGTCATAAAAGTAATAAATTTCAGAAGATGGCGCTGAAAGCGAAGAAGGAAGCCCCTGGCCCTCCCAAAACTGAAGCCAAAGCAAAGGCATTAAAGGCCAAGAAGGCAGTCCTGAAGGGCGTCCACAGCCAAAAATAAAAAAAAAAAAAAAGATCTGCACATCACCCACCTTCCAGTGGCCTAAGACTCTGAGACTCTGTAGGCAGCCCAAGGAGCACCCCCAGGAGAAACAAGCTTGACCAGTAGGCCATCATCAAACTTCCCCTGACCACTGAGTCAGCCATGAAGAAGATAGAAGATCACAACACACTTGTGTTCATTGTGGATGTCAAGGCCAACAAGCACCAAATTAAACAAGCTGTAATGAAGCTCTATGACACTGATGTGGCCAAAGTCAACACTTTGATTAGGCCTGATGGAGAGAGGAAGGCCTATGTTTGACTTGCTCCTGACTATGATGCTTTGGGTATTGCCAACAACATTAGGATCATCTAAACTCAGTCCAGCTGGCTAATTCTAAATACAAATTTTCCTCAACAAAAAAATAACTGAAAAGAGAAAAGTGATAAATTTCTCCTGAAACCCCACACAAGAATGTAATAGACAACCATTGATCTTTTCCCCCAGTGTCACCCAGTGTACTTGGAACCCCTCCACCTTTTTAATGATGTCACTGATAAAACAAAAACGAATGGTAAAAGCGCATTTCAAAGAAAATTTTTAAATTGGCTTTTAAATAATGAATACTGGATTATTGTAAGGATAGTTACAATTTTACATTTTCAGTCATTTGGAACACGTCAGGAAAGAGGACATAAAAGGCATAATTTTGACTTTCCAAGCTTAACACAGATGTGCATAGCCACATTCCATGGTAGAATCAAAGAAAGGAATATGAGAGTAGTATTGATGGTGGGTAAAGGAGTACTCTGGCAATATGATAAGACCTTTACTTTTTTTTTCCATTGAAGAAACAATAACACACACGCAGAGCATTTTAAAAATACTACTATTTAAGATACATATTATTGAAGAAGTTTGTCACGATGTTTAGTAGATTATGAAACTATTCTTTTATGTTAACATTTTCACATCACTTTCTTAAAAAACTAAATGAGATGGTAGAGGAAGGACTATAATTCCATATTCTTTGAAATTTGCAAAAATAGCAAAGTCTTAGAAACACTTAAATAACCATTCCTCTCCAGCAAAGTCATTTTAAGGATAACTCCGTCTGCATTTTTACTTAAAGTGGATTGCCAGGGGGACCCATACCTAATACCCACACCCATAAAATGTAACAGAGCAATGGAAACAGAACATTATAGCCTGTGTTAAGGGAAATAATTTTCACAGGTAGCTGAAAACGAAAACAGAACAGCTTACCTTTATGGTGGTTTGCACTGTATACAACTTTCCCCCACAAGGTTACAATAAATATTATTATTAGCAGTTTTCCTTTTGTTGCTTTCTGTAAATATCTCTTACTCATCCTGCAAATAAAGAGAAAAAAAATTAAGTATGAGAAAACATGACCTTTTCTGTTGCTATTGTGCTATCTATTTAAAGCCTTCCAAGGCATCTTAACACATTTAACCAAGCTTCCAGTCAGTTTGAACCAGTTCAGACATGAATAATGAAGCAAAGCCAGAAAAAAAAAATTCCAATTTTAAATTTTTGAATAATGAATTCTGAGTCGACGGAAATGAATGACTCGGAAGAGTTGTAATGAGCTCTTCCAGAGCCTGAAATGTCCAGCTATGACCATTTAAACCAGCACGGCCAGCTACCATCTTGGAGTGGTGCACTACTGTTTTTCTGACTCTGTTCAAACTCTGAGAGGTAAGAGATTCGATTGTTTCGCAGTGTGTACAGCATTGCCCCTGAGAGAAGATACGTTTCTAGCAGAGCTTTGGCTTTTAATTTTTCACATATCTGGTTTTCATTACACTTCACCAAAATGGGTCAAACAAAACGGATCTGTTTCCATTTTGTTTTTGTAATCATGATTGAAATTGGAAGAACTGGTTTGAAGCTTTGCATTTAACACCTGAAAACGGCACTTTTAAAGACAGATTTAAAATATTATTAACTTTTTGTAAAATATAAACAAACAAAATTTTTCTAACAATGTACTTTACAAGTCGCCAGCCATTTAATGTTGCTGTTGTTGGGCATTGTCAAGTCAGAACCAATCCATAGCTAGTCTTCCAGCAGCTTCAAAGTCACTACATCACATGTGAGAAGACTGATCATCTTTTTACTGCAAAAGAGCTGGTGGATTCAAACCATATACCTTTGGGTTAGCAGTGCAATTCCTCACCACTTCGTCACCAGGGTTCCCTCATTCAGTTAGGAAATAGTACTATTTTCCTCCCAATGTATAGATTTAACTTGATGGCAAAATTAAAGGCATAGCTGTTTTTAAAGTATAACAAGAAGATGGAAATAGCCAAAATCTCCAACCATAAACAAATGGATTGAGAAATTATGGAACATTCCCACAATAGAATACTATGCAGCACACAAGAGAAATAATTTTGTAAATTCTTTCCTAACTTGGAAGGGATTATAGAGAATTATGCTGAGTGACTGAGTTCTACATGGACAAATATTGTACAAAATCATTATTGTAGAATGAGTGTAAGGATCCAAGAGGGGTGGGAGAGGGTAGAAGCAGAGGGGGAGGGAGGCTTAAAATTATGGGGTTATACAATTTGATGGGGGCAGGTGAGGGAAATTAAAAGGGTGTGTTCTTTAAAAGAACATATGCAAATTTTGTAAATAAACTAGTAGAAAAGGAAAAAATATTTAAGTCATTTATTATGCTACTTATAAAAAGAATACTATTTTCTTTGTTGTTGTTGTTATGTGCCGTCGAGTCATTTGCCACACATAGCGACTCTATGTACAACAGCCCTAAACTGTGCTCTATCCTGTGCCAATCTCATTGCCTATGACACACCCATCCCGATTACCCCAGTCACTGAATCAATCCACCTCATAGAGGGTCTTCCCCTCCTGCGCTGTCCCTCTACTCTACCCAACATGATGTCCCTCTCTAAAGACCTGTCTCTCCTTGCAACATGTCCAAAGTATGTCAGACGAAGCCCCAGAATCCTTGCCTCCAAGGAGCAGGGAGCAGCCTGGTTTAACCCTCTCTAGGAAGAATCTGTTTGTTTTCTTGGCAGTCATGGTACATTCAATACTCTTCTCCATCACCACAGCTCAAAGGCGTCAATACTCCTTCTGTCCTCCCTAGTCATTGTCCAGCTCTCTGATGCATAATAAGTGATAGCAAAGACCATGGCCTGTATCAGGCGCACTTTAGTCTCCAAAGAGACACCATTGCTCTTGAGTACTTTAGAGAGGTCCTTAACAGCAGACTTTCCCATCACAAAACGTTTTTTTATTTCCTGGCTGCTGGTGCCAAGAGTGTTGACTGTGGAGCCGAGCAAACTGAAGCTGTGAACAATCTCAATCTCTTCGCCATCCATCCTGATGCTACCAATTGGTCCAGTGGTGAGAATCTTTGTCTTCTTGACATTGAGCCTCAGTCCATACTGAAGGCTGCCGTCCTTGACCCTCTGCAGTAAGTGCACGAGGTCCGTACTAGGGATATTGTAGCTGATGTTAGATGGATCTTAGCTGAAAGCAGAGAATACCAGAAGAATGTCTATCTGTGTTTCATTGATTATGCAAAGGCATTTGACTGCGTGGATCATAACAAACTGTGGCCGACTCTGAGAAGAATGGGAATCCCAGAACATTTAATCGTGCTAATGCGAAACCTATACTTGGACCAAGGGGCAGTCACCAGAACAAAGCAGGGCAACACTGAATGGTTCAATATGGAATAGCCAGTGTAAAATAGAGATAATTTAGAATGAACACGTGTTTGGACATAATGTTAGAAGTCATTTTAGCAGTTAAACGATCTTTAAAACTCCAGTTATTACCTTTGGACTCAAGTAGAAGTGGCAAACTTTCACAAGTCAGCAAACAGTAAATGTTGGAGAGGATATAGAGGGATTGGAACACTCATATACTTTTGCACTGTTGGTGAGATTATAGAATAGTAGAATCATTCTGGTGATTTGTACATTGATGTTCATAGAAGCATTATATACAACTGCAATGGAAACAGCCCAAATGTCTATCAACAAACAAATGGACTGAGAAATTGTGGTACATTCATATGATGGAATACTATGCAGCACTCAGGAGCAGAGATTTTGAAAAATGCTACATAACATGGGAAAGACTAGTGAACATTATGCCGAGTGAACTAATTCTGTCTCATGAGTATGAATAATGCAGACCATTGTTATAAAAATAGAAGGATAACTAGCAATATGTGTATGAAAGTTCAAGGTGGGAATGGGAAGGAGCAGGAGGGATGAGGCTAGGGAGGGTAGAAATCATGGGGTGGCACAGTTTGGTGGCCAGAGGTGAAGGAATTAGGAAAGATCCAGTGACCCTGAAAAGATGGAGTAATCATGGTCATATATCAACGGTGATTAATTTTATAAAACACAGTGTATGGGAATGATCATATGAAACACAATGTGAATGAAAGAATATGTGAATCACAATTCTAGATGAAGGAAATACAATGTATTTTCTAAGCCAACTAATATAAGATTTTTTTTAAAAAATTAGTCCTATTTTGTAACCTGAAATCTCCTTTTGTAAAGGAGGCAAACTCCTTTAAAAGTTGTGCAACCACAATGAGATACCATCTCACTACAGTAACAGTGGCAAAGTTTAACAGGACAGCAAGTAATAAATCTCAGAGAGGATGTAGAAAGATCTCTTGTATACTGTTGGTTGTTATTATATGCCTTCGAGTCACTTGCGACTCATAGCGACCCCTATGTACAACAGCCCTAAACCCTGCCCTTTCCTGTGCCAATCACACCATCTCCAAGACACCCAACCTGACTACCCCAGTCATTGAATCAATCTACCTCATTGAGCACCTTCCTTTCCTGCATTGTCCCTCTCCAAAGACCAGTCATTCATTACATGTCCAAAGTATGTCACGAAGCCTCAGAATCCTTGCTTCCAAGGAGCCACTTGGTTTAACCCTCTCCAGGGTGAATCTGTTTGTTTTCCTAGCAGTCCATGGTACACTCAATATTCTTCTCCAGCACCACAGCTCAAAGGCATCAATTCTCCTTCTATTCTCCCTAGTTATTATCCAACGCTCCGACGCATAACAAGTGATTGCAAAGACCATGACCTGTATCAGATGCACCTTAGTCTCTAGAGTGACACCATTGCTCTTCAGTACTTTGGCGTAACAGCAGGCTTTCCCATCACAATATGTCTTTTAATTTCCTGGCTAATGTTGCCAAGAGTGTTGACTGAGGAGCCAAGCAAACTAAAGTTATGAACAATCTCAATCTCTTCATCATCCATCCTGATGATGCCAATTGTTCGAGTGGTGAGAATCTGTCTTCTTGACATTGAGCCTCAATCCATATTGAAGGCTGTAGTCCTTGACCCTCTACAGCAAGCGCTACACTGTTGGTAGGATTGTAAAATGGTACAACCACTCTGGAAGTCAGTTTAGTGTTTCCTCAAAAAGCTGAACAAAGAAATTCCATATTATCAAGCTTTTCCACTACTTGGAATATACTCCAAGAAAATGAGAACTGAGGCACAAATGGAGACTTGTACACAAATGTTCAGAGCAGCTTTATTCACCATTGCAAGAACATGGAAATAGCCCCAACAGTGTATATGAACTTTGTTAAGTAAACCAGTATGAAATAAAATTTTATTAACAAAATAAGTTGTGCAACCAAAATTGTGTTAGCTGAGAGTTAAATGTAAACTAATGAAGAAGCATCCCAAATGCACTCCTTAAGTGTGGTACTTAGCCTTGTCCACCATTGTAATTCTGAGCCTGTTCAGAGAACTTTGTCAGGGGCTTCTTGATTCTGTGTCCTTGCTTTACAAAAGCCATTTTTTGTGACTAATACATTTTTTTGTCTTTACTTTAAATAAATATTTTTCTTTTTAAAATTATTATTAATTTCAATGAATATTTACAGATTGTGAATTTCCATTCATTCATTGTTGCACTTTTTTCCCCACCCTTCCCTCCACCCCCAGTTTGCTCTTCTCTTTGAAAAGTAAAAGAAAAATTCCTTCATTGATATACAATACCCCCACACCTCCCCACCCCCACCCAGAGTATACTCCACTCTGCAACCTTCATTCTGGACTCTTAGGATAATCATTATGCTCTATAATATATTGCTATTAAACTGTTCTCTCCCTCATCCGTTTCAATGCAGTATACATAATTAATCCAGTTTTTCTCATTCTTCTCCAACCCTGATGTCAGTCCCATTCTACAGCAGTGGCACTATGCAGTGTTCGGTCTTTTGTGACTGAGATATTTCACTCAGCTTATTGTCCTCGAGGGTCACCCACTTTGAATAATATTGCATGAGCTCCTTGTTTTTGTGGGAATATACCA